GGCAGCTACGGGGGCGGAAGTGGATCCGGTGGTCACAGCGGAGGCAGCTACGGGGGCGGAAGTGGATCCAAAGGAGGGAGTGGAAGTGGCTACGGAGGATCAAGTGGATCTGGAGGAGCAAGTGGAAGTGGAAGCCACTCTCAGTCCCAGTCTTCTTCAAAATCTGATGACTGTTATGCACAAGGTAAGAAACAATTCTAGATAAGTTGAGGGGAGGCACTGGTAGGACTCAAGAGTCAAGGCATTATTCATTGTTTAGTACCTTTAAGCCTCTCACTCTGAACAGAACTACATTCTGCAGAGTCTATAGTGAGGCGTCATGGGACTTGTCATCAATCCTAAATTAACCATTATTACTGTTAGATGAGATTGGGACCATATCTATACATGACCCTAGTGTCAATAGTATGGGAGATTGCTTGGGATTTTGGAATTAGCTCATGTATTCCCTATAGCACCATCACCATATGAAGCAGATTTTATTATCATCTCCACCTTGGAGATGCGAAAAAAAGAGAGGAGAAGGTCAAACAACTCCCAAGTGAGGAACTCAGCCTGTGAGAATCTATAGGCTGTTGATAGAGCACCTGGTACAGGCTTTTGTGTGCCTAGTGGACCTGCAGGGCCATGCACGGGCCTCTGCAGGGTGGCTTCCTATGCAAGGCATTTTTAAACAGAGCTGTTGGGTGGTGACAGGGCGGCCTCATGAGCTCTCCATCCATAGAAATGAGTGCACATCTGCAGGGTTGCTGCAGAAGAGACTCAAAGGGGGCATTAATCATTGGGTTGTACATTTTGATGGGTGCAGGTGTGAGGGAAAAGGAAAGAATTTGTTCAAATTTGTGTTTGAATTTTGTAAGTAAACTAGTAGGAAAAAAAAATCAATACTTGGATGAGGGGTAAACTCAGGGATCCCAGGTTCCTGTATTTCCAGACCTTCCAGCTCTTTGCGCTCCAGATTCCATCCTTCTCCAAATCTCAGACTCTCTTGTTTCCTGCTCTAAGTCCTGTCTTCCCATGCTCACTACCCTCTCTCCTCTCTTCACAGCCTATTAAAAGTGGTGCCAGTGCTCCTGACAACTCATGCTCAGCCCACATTGAGCATCCCCCAGACAGACAGAGTGTGGATGAAACCTACTCATTGCACTCCAACATCAGAAATGACTGGTGGAAAGGCTTGGTGCCCATTTGGGAGTGGGTCAGCTTGGCATGTGTGCCACTGGCCATCCCTGGCTCTCTCCTCCACTGGACTTTGATAACTTCAGGGCAAAGAGACCACCCTTCTTCTGTCTGGTCTGGGAATAACCCTATTCCCTGCCTGATCCTAACTCCCTAATAAAGTTTTCCTATTGCAAATCAGAACTTGAACTTTGAATCATTTGTTCTTTGGGATTTAGAAGGAGCAGACAGGAGCCCACCTCAAAAAGTAGTGGTCAGCTTTTCTAAAGCTAACTTTTGCTTGTAACATGTCTGCCACAGTACAGTGGGCTGAAAAAGAAACCATTTATTTAGTTCATGGCTTTGCAGTTGGCAATTTAGACTAGGCTCAACTGGTTGGTTCTAGACTCTTCTACGTGTCCTTTATGCAGTTGGGTGACTGTGTCTGGGGTTTGACTGGTGCTGGTTGGATGACAGCAGTGAATGGGCTATATGACTTTCACCCTTCAGCATCTAACTGAGCAAGTGTTCCAAAGGGCTGAGCAAAGTGTGCGAGAAGAGCTCATCAGGCTTAGGCTCAGAGCAGTCACCGCAGCTGCCTTGTCTCGGCTGAAGGCCTGGTTCAAGAGCAGGGCAGACAACTTCTCTTGCCATGAAGACCTGCAAAGACAAATTGCAAGTGCAGGATTTTCCTAGAGGGAAATTCCCAAGAATACTTTGTTGTTGTTGTTATGTGACATCGAGTTGCTTGCTATTCATAGGACCCTGTGTACAACAGCCCTAAACCATGCTCTGTCCTGTGCCAATCACACTGTCTCCAATACACCCATCCCAATTACCCCAGTCACTGAATCAGTCCACCTCATAGAGGGCCTTTCCCTCCTGCACCATCCTTTCACCCTCCCAAGCATGATGTCCCTCTCCAAGGACTGGTTCCTCCTTACAACATGTCCAAAATATGTCAGATGAAGCCTCAGAATCCTTGCCCCCGAGGAGCAGCCCAGTTTAACCCTCTCCAGGATGAATCTGTTTGTTTTCTTCACAGTCCATGGTACCTTCAATGCTCTTCTCCAGCACCACAGCTCAAAGGCTCCTTCTATCCTCCCTAGTCATTGTCCAACTCTCTGACGCATAACAAGTCATTGTAAAGACTATGGCCTGTATCAGACACACCAGCAGCTGACGTGTTTGGAGTCACAGGAGCCAAGGAAGTGTCAGATATAAGCTATCAGATCAAGAGCTGGACAATGGGAGATAGATGTTGAAGGGAGTGGGTAGAAGTGGATGGGTATTCTGGTGGATGGTGGAGCAGGAAAATAAGTGGGTCAAGACACTTGTGCCAAGGGCAGGGACAACACTGAAACTAATGGTTCATTCTACAATAAAGAATATATCTTTCACTTTTTCTGTAAAATGCTTGTCGGATACTTCCCTAAATCTGAACATCCAGATTAAGACAGACTAGGAAGAAGGATTGGCCATCCACTTCTGAAATAGCAGGCCTCTGAAAACCCTATGTACAAGAATAATCTACCATAGTTTATTAGCAGGCCATATGGAGTCCTTGGGGGGCACAAATGGTTAAGCATTTGGCTATAAATGGAAAAGTTGACTTTTTTACTCCATCCTGAGGCACCTCAGAAGAAAGTCCTGGCAGTTTACTTCTGAAAGACCATAGTCATCGTGGAAAACCGGACGAAGTGCAGACCTACTCTGAAACGTGATCACTGTGAGTCAGGATGGCTCAAGGGCAGCAGATCTTCGTATCTTTGTTAGCTAAATAGGGAACAAGATGAAAATGATGTGGTCTTCGGAAGATTTCACAGATGGTGACAAAGATTAACACAAATAAACGAGGTGTTACAAGGCAAAGAATGGAACATTTCATAGGATGCAGCCAATAGCGTTCCCTCAGGATTCTGATTCGACTTGATGGTCCAAACTCCTCATAGTTAGGGATCATGGGAAGTGGATTCAAAGGAGGAGGAGTGAGTGGAGTTATTTATTCGGAACGTGGCCCCTTCTGTCTATGCTCCAGATATATAAAAACCATTCTGAACTTAGAAGCATAAAACATTTCTCTTGCTTGTAAATCTGCTATTTTGACAGAGCTTGGTGGAAACAGCACACCTCTGCTCTGCTCTGTGTCATTGTGACTTGTGGGGTGGGGGCTGGGAGCATCTGACACTCTCAGAGTGACCCAGCTGGGACGCCTCACTCTCCCCTTCTCTGTTGGAGACTCTCAGTGGGATCACCCCAACATGTCAGCTTTGGTGCAGCCAGACTCTGCCTGCTGGCTCAGCGGAGAGAAGGAATTGAGGAGCTGCTTTGTTTGATGACCTAGACCTGGAAGGCAGGTTGTTGGGTGGATTTCATGGTATTGATCTGGGGGTGTCAAGAGTAGCATTGACTTGATGGTAACTGTTTTGTTTGTTTGTTTGATTGTTGTTGTTTTTACAAAGAAATTAACTTTCATTTGAAAGGAAATTTCCCCCTACACCTATCTTCTAAGGACTTTATACTACACCTTAACTATTATTGTCCCAATACCAATCTTTCTAATAGTTAAAAAAGAAGAGTTGAGTAAACAGCCATGGACATACAGACACCACCCAGGAATTTAATTATTGGAAGCTGAAATGGTGGACTAAACATCTTTTAGCTGTCAGGTCAGGCTTTGTTTTGATCATGGAAAACTATTAAAGGTGTGAAGAATCTGAGTTTTGATGCTTCTAATGGGACAAGTTTTAAGCAGAGGATGAAGAATTCATATTTGGTGAAGTGCAGGTTTTGTGACCATTCTGATTGTACACCTTCCACCAGAAACTTCATGAACACTCATGAAATGGAAAAGACATCAGGCTAATGATCTGCTAGCACCTCCGAAATGATGAGAAGATTAGTTCCTTGTGAGTTTACTTTGCCTTTGTATATGTGATCACTGAGTTAAGAGCTTTGTTTTTTCAATAAACTAATAAAAATGGAATTTCAATTAAAAAAAAAAGAAGAGTTGGCCTTCACTGACTATGGATATTTAAACTTCAATAAGTTTAACAAAAATAAAACAAAAATCACATTTTAAATTTATAAAGTTTAACAAATGCATTTCATACAGAACATGTTGTACAGAAGTCTACAATTTTATCACTTCTAAAAAACAAAGACTTAATTTTTAGGGTCCAAGAATTCTGTACGTCAAAAACAAGTGACCATATTTTCCCGTATGGTTTCACACTTTCTATATTCAGCTGTTTGAATGTTCCAGTGCCATCTCTGACAAATTTGACATGACTGAGCTACTTTGTTACTTTCTTACCCAAATAGGGAAAAACAAAGTTTGTCATAAATGCAAGTTTCTTAGTACACTGCCTGACAGAAGCTAAAGAAGTTTTAAAACCCCCAATTTCTTTCCTCATCTGATAAGCAGAGAATTAATTTCCTGTAAAAGGAAGAAAGTAAAAATAATAATAGTAGCATTGGGGTTTCTTTTCCACTCAGATGATTAACTAACTCCTCAATGACAATTACTTCATGAAGAGTATAAAGAGGGGAAAACAGCAACACAACCAATAAAGTGTAGATACTAAATCAACCAAAGACTTTTAAAAGTGTTCTTTTTTAAAAAACTTTTTTATTATTATTAATTTTATGAAAGTTTACAGAAACTGAGGATTTCCATTCATTCATTGTTGCACTTTTCTCTCTGCCCACCTTTCCCTCCCCCCAATTTGCTCTTCTCTTTGAAAAGTAAAAGAAAAAATTCTTTCGTTGTTATACAATCCCTCCCCCTAAGGCCACCCCACTATGCAGCTATTCTGGACTCCTGTCATGACAACAATACCAAAATTACATATTAAAAAAAAAAGTGTTCTTCTTAAAGAGTAGGCAAGAAGAAAAGCTTGGAGAGACTAGAATTATTATTATTTTTTTAAAAGACTGAAAAAAGAGAAAATAGAAGGGCAATAAAGGCCAAAGAAAAACAAAGAGTAAAATAATAATAATAATCAACATCCAAAACCAAACATGTTCTTAATGGCAACCATTCACTTTATCAATAAAGCCTTGGGCTGCAAGAATGAGACCTTGATCATGTCTGTAATTGGCTATAATAAGGAGAAGGGACTCTTCATCTGTACTGGTAACCATAGTCCT